ATCAATTCTTTTTTCTTGCATATGTTTTGAGCATTGAATTCACATGTGAAGTAGTGAAATTTCTGACAGCTCTGCTTTCTTTTTGAACATGATGTAAATGTCTTGTTTAGGTTTAAATTCAAAGTGTGAAAGATTTTTCAGTCTGACCAAATCACAGAGAGGTTATAGTCTAAAATACTCTGCACCTGAAGATTTAAAGTTGGAAAACAGTGGCAATAAGGACTGACAGATTCAATTTTCAAATAATCAAGCATTTCAGCGGTAAAATCCGTGGAGATATACACTCGACCTAAGCATGACTGAAATGTAGAGAACTTAATAATAAGGAGTCCTAGACATGTTTCTTTCGTGTCTGTACTAACTGGATTGCACTTACAGAGAATGGATTTCTAATTAAGCAGAAAAAAAGATTTATTCCTCCCTGGCTATTTTAAGTTCCCATAGATCTTTTCTGTGCATATCTGGTCAAGTTCCCATAGAACATTTCTGTGCATATCTGGTTAAGTTCCCATAGAACATTTCTGTGCATATCTGGTCAAGTTCCCATTGAACATTTCTGTGCATATCTGGTTAAGTTCCCATAGATCTTTTCTGTGCATATCTGGTCAAGTTCCCATAGCACATTTCTGTGCATATCTGGTTAAGTTCCCATAGATCTTTTCTGTGCATATCTGGTCAAGTTCCCGTAGAACATTTCTGTGCATATCTGGTTAAGTTCCCATAGATCTTTTCTGTGCATATCTGGTGAAGTTCCCATAGAACATTTCTGTGCATATCTGGTTAAGTTCCCATAGATCTTTTCTGTGCATATCTGGTCAAGTACCCATAGAACATTTCTGTGCATATCTGGTCAAGTTCCCATAGAACATTTCTGTGCATATCTGGTCAAGTTCCCATAGAACATTTCTGTGCATATCTGGTTGAGTTCCCATTGAACATTTCTGTGCATATCTGGTTAAGTTCCCATAGACCTTTCCTGTGCATATGTGCATGGTTCTGATGAGGTGCTTTTAATCTCATAAACTAAATTGTGCAAAGCTGGCTTTCCTGACAATCTTCTGAGAATAGCCAGGGAGGAATAAATCTTTTTTTCTGCTTAATTAGAAATCCATTCTCTGTAAGTGCAATCCAGTTAGTACAGACACGAAAGAAACATGTCTAGGACTCCTTATTATTAAGGTATATTAAAATTTGGTAACCTGTAAATTTTCAGCCCTATAACTCAAAAGTAGTGATTGCAACGGCTGCCAAAAATTAGAAGGGTTTGTGTGAGAAAGACAACTTTTGCTCAGTAACGCTTGATTGGTTCTCAGTACAAATCCTTGTAAACTTCGAAATTCGAAAAGAAAAAACTTCGAAAAACTGTTGTGAAATATTTTCTTAAACATTACGGGCTCAAATCTCCTTTTAATTTATAACACGGACTTTGAGCCCTTAAATTTGGGAAAATTTAACGACAGTTTTAAAAATTGTGGAATTTACAAGGAGTTGTATGGAAAACCACTGAAGTATGACTGGGTGGCAAAAGCTGTTTTTCTCATACAAACCCTTTAAATTTTCGGCAGCCGTTGCAATCGCTACTTCTGAGAAATAGGGCTGGAAAATTACAGGTCACCTAATTTTAATATGCTCTTTCAGCTTGTGCTAACAAAATTTTTCAAAAGCAAACTGTTTTCATGTTCACCCAAAGTTGATCATGTGATCAACTAATGCAAATGGCCTATTGGTCTATATCCCCTTTAAATTTATCGGGTAGAATTTGAAAGCAATCTGACAAACTTAATTAATAGTCATAGAAACAAAGAAACAATTAAATATAACATTGATACAAGATAAGTCGTCTTTATTTAGGATATTCAAAAAGTAGTAATTAAAATGTAATTAATATATCCCTCTGGCTCATGTAGAGTTTGGGCTTTTTGTTTCCATCCTGATTTAAAACTTGCAGTCCTTGTCAAGAGGGAGTGCTAGGGTGGAGGTTAAACATGGAATGTGCCCTAACCAGTCAGTTAGTGTGACTGTGATATGACCAAAGATCACAGGACACTCAGACTCCGTGCATTGAAAGATCAAGGTCATTAGCATTACCTTGATTATTTTTTTTTGTTTTTTTGTTCTTTTTTAATACAACAACACTTTATTTCATATTTACACGCAAAGGAAAAATTACAAAATTTGTAAAAAACTAGAAAAAAAAGTAACAAAATTACAATTTACAAAAGTCATTGAAAATTACAATTCAAATTATCGTCACCCTTATACTGACATTAAAAATCAGTAACTCTTCCCTTTATTTTTTTCTTTTTTTAACATAACATAGTAAGGTAACTGACGAAAACTATATTTGCCAGAATGATAAATTATTGCACATATATTATACGCACACGTATCCACAATGACTTTAAAAAAGGAAAAAAACAAACAAATCAACAAACAGACAACTTAAACAGGACAGTTAAAATATTAAATCTTTTAATCTACAGAGCGCCGCCTACAGTTCACTTCCACTTAATAGTACATTCGTTTGAAAAGGGGAGATTTTTAATCGAGACCATTTCTTTTTAAAAGTTTCTAAAGAATTATGGTCTTTACCTTGATTGTTACACAATTTCCTCTCATTATGACAGAACCATGGGAAATGTATGGCGGGCAACAGGGTGAAGCAGCTCATGCTTTTTATATCATATAATTTATGGTAAGTGCTCCCTGATAAAATTTTTTTGATATCTTCTACATAACTCTTCCGGAGCATTTTTTGTATGGGTAAAGGCAGTAAGAAATGATTTCAGCACAGAATTAACCGAAAAATAGGCAATACGGATAAAAATACGAGAGTAAGAACCTGCATTTTCCCAAGTTAGGCTAAACAGGTTCTTACATTAATGTTAATCAACACAAGTTTAGGCTATTTAGGTTCTTAAATAGGTTCTTATTTTATGAAGAAAAAAATTATATTGTAGCTAAGAGTATTTAGTAGTATTCAGGTTATTCCTTCTTAAAGCTGCGTACCATTACGTTGCAGTTTGTCTCCAAAGAGGATCCTTATTGTTGACTTACCTCATTTGCCCCGTACCTTTTAGAAAATAATCTGTTTAAAATTTTACGCTAAACAGGTTCTTGTATGGAGGAAGCCTAAATGGCTTCCAAAAACCATGTTCTTATTCGTGGGTTTTTACTGTATCCTCGTGACATATACCCTTTAAAAAGGAGAAGTCTGCTAGCGGTGTAAATCATTATAGAATAGTATAATAATTCCTTTCTTCTTGCTGCGAAGGAATAAAAGTACAGAGTGCAGTACCACGGAAAAACCCATCAGGAAACATGGAAATACAGGAAACAGGACACATGAATGAAAACTTACTGAAGAAAGAAGCATGTTATACTTGTGGGCAATCGGAATGCAAAGAACATGAACTGAACTCACATGCCGATGAAAAGTCCTACTTGTGTAAGTTCTGTGACAAATCCTTTACTCGAAGTTCAGTTTGCAAGCGACACGAACGGACGCACAACCAAGAAAAACTTCATGCATGTCAATACTGCGATAAAACCTTTAGCCAAAGGTCACACTGCAAGATTCATGAGCAGACTCATACTGGGAATAAGCCTCATGCGTGTAAACAGTGCGATAAAAGGTTTAGCTACTCATCTCATCTCAAACGGCACGAACTTGTTCACAGTGGCGAAAAGCCTTTTGCTTGTAAGCAGTGTGGTAAGCGTTTTATTAGACTATTCCAACTCCGTGCCCATCAACAAGCACATGGTGCTGACATAGTTAAGCCTTATATCTGCTTGTACTGTAATAAGGGATTTACTAATTTAACAAACTGCAGGGATCACGAGCGTACGCACACTGGATTGAAGCCCTTTTTATGCAAGTTCTGCCACAAAAGTTTCACCCATTCATCAACTTGTAAAAAACACGAACTAACGCACACGGGGGCCAAGCCATATGCGTGCAAGTATTGTGAAAAGAGCTTCAGGCAAGCATCAGCCTTAAAGCGCCATGAAAAAACACATAGCGGGCAGAAGGCTTATACATGCAAGTACTGCGAGAAAGCCTTTTACATGCCATCAGAGCGCAAATCGCACGAACGGATCCATACTGGAGAAAAGCCTTACGCTTGTGAGCACTGCAATAAGTGTTTCACACATTCATCTTCCTTGAGGAAGCATCTCCGATCGCGAATTCATGTCGATTCCGCATCTCGAGGATTGAATACAATTAAGTGAATGGCTCACTAGATAAAGCTTTTCTGGATACAACAGGTGTAATTACAAAACCCGGCCTAAATTGAAAATGTTACGACAACGGAGAAGTAGTTTGGTAACTCGAACCCTATTTGGGGATAAAACAAACTCCATCTTTGTATTACAAACTGCTCTCTTTCTTTTTTGCTTTGTTTTGTTTTGTTTTTGTTCTTGTTCTTGTTTTTTTTTATGTTTACTTAGTTTTCTTGATAGCCCTCAAAAACACAATCTTTGCGGAAGCCACTTGCTTGCGGTGCGTGGTTCCACTTAAGAATGTAACGTTTTAACGCGTCATTTTTAAGTTCAATAAAAGAAAACACAAAATATAGTACCGAACCAATTAATGAAATTCAAGTGCTTTCAATCTAAAGTATGACTCCTTCAATAAGAAGTTCGGATTATTCCCTTCCTATAGTCTTAAGCCACAGTCAAGTTTGCTGCAATCGGCAGTCTCCAGTTTATTATCACACTTCGAAATGGGTATGATCTATTTTTTGTCGCCCTACTTAAATTGTATGAAAACTCTAGTTCGCAATTAGTGGATAAGAAGATACAGGCTAATCTAGAAACTGAATATCGTGGGAAAACTGAACATAAAATGCCGACAACCCTCAAGACAAAAAGTTACGTAAACGTTCTCAGTTACTTTAAGCGTTAAACGGCCTAGCTTAAGTTAACCTTTTTGGCATTACTTCAATAATTTTCTCCAACACCCTGTACATATTTAAAATTTGACCTGAAATGTTCTGTTTCTCTGTCAGCCATCTGCTTTCTTCGGTGTCATAGTAACGATCCAAAACGTTCATCGACCATGGTATGCCTACATTGCCCAGCTCAGTTACAAAGAAGCGGGCAAAGTTAATGGCTTCTTCTTGCGTTATTTTTCCGTATTGGTTATCTTGTGGCATCTACGCACCAAGATACGTCAGCAGACCATTATTTGCATTTTTTTGGAATTCAGTTGCGTAGTTGATTGCTTTCTTAAATTGTCTTGACCTGTAGCGCCTTTCTTGCTATCTTGGGCTGTTTCATCTCCAGTCCAGAATTTCTGTGAACCAGGCTCTTTGTTCGGCCCTGAGGCATAAATGTGCCACTCAGCCATCAGATACTTGTCATGTTCATAAATTGATTGGTCGATTTCATTCAAGTTCTTAGCTGTTTTTCCCGGCGACCCCAGAATCAGTATTCGCTTAGCATTCTTGCCACCCGCCTGACGGATCGCATATATCGCATCTTTAGTCCATCGGGTGTATTTGTCGTTCCTTTTGCGAAGGCTCTCGTCACTGTTGTTAGTTTTCGGACAAGTGCCTATTCCAAGCTCTGTAAAGAGATTAAAACTCAGTTTAAAGTCCCTGTCTTTTAACTGCTGTGCCACTGCCGTCCACCAATTTACATAAGCCATGTAGTCGTTTTCAGCTGCACAGACCTCTGCCTCGTGATGAATCCATGAGATTATCTGAATAACCTTGTGTTTCAGACAGTCGTCGACAATGGTCGTCAGATTACCAAGAAACCAAGTGAAGTTGACCGCAGGGTAGTTGTATGAATACAAATCTGCACCACATCGAAGTCTCAAGTTTGTAAACCCCTTTTCGTTTACATCCTTAATGTTCTGCATTAGTTTGACAATTTTAAAGAGTTTTTTTTACCAGAATTTGTTGCTTGTAAATTGTTTGTGAGTTTAATTCGCATTTCCCTAAAGTTTTTCTCTACGCCAAGAGTAACGCCAGGGTAATTTTACATGTAACATGAAAAAATGAGTGGAGAATAATAATAATAATGATGATGATGATGATGATGATGATGATGATGATGATGATGATGATGATGATGATGATAATTAATTATAATAATAAAGTTGGTATGTAAGGAATTATGAGGGGGTATTGCTCAGGAAAGTAGAAGGAACAGTGAAAATAGAATGGAGGCAAAGGGTCCAAGGGACGGAAGAGAGAAAAGAAATAAATGGAAAACAAATGGAAAGAAAAGCCAATGTATTAGCAATATGTTAGCGACATATTGGGAATTGGGAGAAAACATGGCATTGGCAGGGGCGCAGAGTGACCTTTTTGGCAAGTACGCACACGGGTCCATATGGTCTCAAAAACTTCGCAAAATAACGTTTTTGCTTTCCTTTAATACATATTTCGGCAGTTTACAGGTTTGTGTACAATAGAATTTTAGTATCGACGAATCGCCTTTTTAATCAATTTAGTAAATAATCAATTTAAAAGCATTTTATGTTTGATAACTTAACTTTAATTGTAAATAGCTTTCATAGTGTTTTAATCATTTTTATTTCCATAATGTTTCATTTACAGTGGCATACCCGTGAATTTAGCTGGTCAAGTTCTCTTTTTTAACCAACCCATGTAGCTAAGAGTATGCGCCACTTAAAATAAAGCATCTTATCTTATCTTATCTTAACGTGATATTTAAAAAAAAGCTCTGAAACGTTCTTCTTTGAGCTGGTACTTGAATGTTTACAAGCACAAAAAGACGCGCTTCCCCTTTTGTTGCGCAAATTTAGTGACGTTATCAGCATAAACATCTTTGTGTTGATGTATAATGTAAAATCGCCAAGGATGAAAGTCGCTCATCTGTCATCGTATTACGTATAGTGAAGTCTTTATTCTTTTCATCGAGCTGAAACTGCACTTAGCAACGCACGCCGAAATAGCGTAAGTAAGAAGTGTCTTACTGGATAGAAAGTGGCATTGGTTTGATCAAGTGCTTCCACCAGAGTCTCTGGAAGGGGATCATCAGGTAACCTGATTGACCAGCGGTGCAGCCGTCTTGTAATCTCTCGCTAAAGGGCAGTTCCTAGTTGAGCAGTCTTTGATAGACTTTTCAGCATTATAAGAGAGAGAGAAAACTACAAAAATGAATAGCTTTTGAATGGGAAAACTTTCCAGATTAATTCTGAAAGGAATGATAATCAGTCAGGGTCGATTCTTTGTGGCCTCGCACGTTTGTTGAACGCTAAAAACTGTGTTGGCCTTAATTTCCCCAGTCCCCCTCCGTTTTTCATGAATACGCAATGGATTGTAGGATCGCCTGAAGGCAAACATTTCAAGAATGTTGCGCATTAATCACATTCCACTACTCAAACTGTTCTTCAAATGGCTTTTACTTACAACGTATTTGCGTAAAGGACACTACGCCCCTGATTGGTTGCGGAAGGGGGACCTCAAGGGATGTACAGAAGCTTTTATCTGTACTCACAAGAACAAGCTTTAATAACTAACTATATCAAGTTTTACATTGACAAAACCCTTAGAATCACCTATGTGTAGGATGTGCAGAGAGAAAGTGAATGCAGCATGTTAGCCCAATGTTTGATTACAAGAGGCGACATGACAGCGTGGCGCGGTATGTGCATTGCAACTGTGTGGGAAGGCCGAACTGGAATGGGCATATCAGTGGTACAAACACACTCCAGAGCAAGTGGTAGAAAACACAAGTTCTGTGGGATTTCAGTGTACAGTGTGATAGGATGGTTGAAGCTAGAAGACCGGACATCATCTTCGTTGATATGCAGACAAAAGTGGCTAAGATCATAAACATCGCTATCCCTGGAGATACACGAGTAGAAGACAAAGAACTGGAGAAGATAGAGAAGTACCAATTTCTTTGAAAAGAAATAGGAAAGTTGTTGAAGCTGAAGAAAGTGACGGTTGGGCCAATTGTGTTGGAGCATTGAGAGCTGTATCCGTTATGTTTGGGAAATACACGGGAAAGCTTAAAGTTACCATCAGACTTGAAGTGATCCAGAAAGCGGCTTTGTTGGGAACAGTTGGACTATTAGGAAAAATTTTGTCTATTTAGGGACTCAAACGTGAGGACTCCTTTGGGACCTTTAGGGACAGACTTACTTCTCTAAGTGATCCTAAATTGAAACAGGGAAAGAAATAAAATGGCCCTTATGACATCTATTTAGCAAAGTCTGTATAATATTAAGATCAGGTTCACATGCTCCATAAACGGGTAAACCATAGATAAAATGCGGCAAAACTAGGAATGTGAACAAGTGATCTATTTTGGCTTGTGAATAAGGGTCCTAAGAACATGTAGGACATTTGTTAGCTTTAATTAATTTATGATTACCATGCGCCCTAAACTTACAATCACTCTCTGGAACGTAACAACCAAACAACCGGGGCCAGTAGAACAAGCTACTACATCTAGGAATGTCAGATGCGGGGCTATAGAGAAAGCTCTTGCCTTTCCTTTTGAAGATAAGATCTCTATATTTTATTGGATTGCAAGGCACATTGTTCTTACCCTTTACACCATGTCATGAATTGTTCGACAAGGTTGGTGGAACGGAGGAGTCAGTGCAAAGTCCACGAAGTAAAGGGAACTTAAGGCGTTCCTTCATCGAAAACTGTGAAAAATTCGATTTTCAAGTTGATCAGAAATGCATTATCGCAAAAAAACAGCGGTTCATTAGATAGTGTTCGGTCGACCTTGCTGCAAGAGCCTATTTATCCGAGAACGACGTACGCGAACAAACTATTGAATGACAATTGACAGCGTAGATTTCGTAGAATTGAAAAATTCAAAATTCATTTGAAGCGTGATCGCATTATTTATAATGGGAAGTCGCCAATTTAGGAAAAAAATTCAAAAGTGGGTGCATCTTGGTTTACTTGTAGGTAGAATAACAGAATAACTGAATCACCTTTTTGGGGTAGGAATAATGGAATAACGATTTCCTTCAGAAAAGATCATGAATGAGTGGCTGTTACACTCTCCGGATCCTAACATCTTCCTTTTTGGGAAAATTTTTTATTCGGTATTGAACAGTCAGTTACAGAAAATTTTAATTCACGAACAACTAAACTGACTAAGACTTCACCCAGCTGTAGTTCGAAAGTTAACCATATATAATCCAATCACGGATTATCGTCAAATTGGTCAACACAAAAAAAAATATCGTGCATACTTATCCCCTATCGGTTTCCCTGTGGACCGTCCCTTTAAAAGTGTCGTGAAAAGTGGCAAAGTGTGACCATAATCTAATCACGGATTATCGTCATATAGGTTAACATAATCTTAGTTTAAATCAGTTGCCCGAGTCCAGAAATTTTCGTTAACCCGGGGAAAGCTAAAGTTTGCCGAAAGAGTGTACTGTTTCTGAAATTGGTCAAGAAATCGTACTGTTTGGAATAAGATGTTTTTAAACGGAGCAATAATAATTACTCCAGGAGTAATGAAATAAGCAACATTTGCGAGCAGGAATAATTCGTCAACTGCATTGTCTGAAAGCGACTTACCTTGTGCGCCAGCTATGAAAACAGTGAACAGCAGGAGAAAAACTGGAAGGAGAAACAAGGATCTGAACATCTTTTCCTTCGTCATTTCCTGTCGATCGAAAAAAAAAAACAGTTATCGATTTAACAACCACAAATAGTTTATCTTTTTTGTCAGGCGGTCACTGACTCGTCAAATTTGTTGTTTCGATAGCCACAATAAAATTAAGATTAGCACGCCTTAGACATGAGTTTCAAATAAGCGAAGGTCGAACTGGTTACACTCTAACGGGCACTCTAAGCCCTTTCTTTTTACATGGAAATGAATTGCATTATTGGAATCATTTTCAATTCATTCCTGGCACTCACTACTACACTTTTAATGCTGCATACTAGAAAAAGTGGGAATAATAACTTACCGGTAGTTTGAAAATTTTTTTTTCCAACCCCACTACTGTGGTCAATTTATCCCCCATCTTTTTAGTGTAAAAAAAAGGAGATTTTGAGACTAACTCAGTGAAAAGTTGTTTTGTTCCAGCTCCGTTTGCGGGATAATTTCGGTCGACACCTTTGTGTGGTAACACATGGAGAGCCATCAATCAAGCATAAAAGGTAGGCTCGCTTGTTAACAGGGTAACCCTACCTATCTTTACCCCCTAGATAGGGTATAGTAGCCTAGGATTGCCATAGCGAAATGAAATTGAACTGCCAAAAATTTAAAATCAATCAAAAGAAATTGAAAAATTAATTGAACTTAAATCAAATGGAAAATACACTCAAAAGAAAAAGAAATCAAAACAAAAATGTATATCAGCATGGTCTAACTTTATAGACTGCAATTCCTTGGCGAGGGCAAGGAGGACACCCTGGACACCCTGGCAAGTTGTCAAAGGAGCGGTTGCTCAGCAAAGTTCTAAGATGGCGGTCGGTCGGAGAATCACAAGCTCGAATACCTTTATTGACTTGATTGAACTGTCAGAACACTTTTCAAACCGTGTTTCTACAAATAATCCTAAGGTAAGAGTTGTTATAAAACTGAATATCTGTGCCCCTTTGGCGAGATCGAGCGGAAACCGGATGTTTCGATACAAAGTCCTTTCGATACCAACTCAAGCAGTGAAAGTGCACAAAAATTTCTTTCACTTCAAGTATAGTTTGCGCGTGAACAACAAACATATTTTGAGCCAATGAAACGACCGGTAACCGATCGAACCGAGGGTTTCGCAGTGTCCACGTTGGCTGTCTTAAGAGTATTGCTTGGTGTCAAATTAACTCATGAGTTAAGCTTACTGTATACTGGCCAAAACCGTTCGGGAACGGAATTAAACGGAATCAAAGTTTGTGGCCTAGCCACAGGCAGGATTCCCCAGGGAGATATATATTCATATTGGGTGTCTGGTATGATGTTTCAAGAACGAAAATCTGGTGAAAACTGTGACCTCTATCTCACTTAAAAACGTTCCTAACGTCTGAACTAGCAATTGAATGGTTGAGAAACGGGTTGACAAGAGGTTCAAACGGATATTGTGAAAAGTTGGCAGGACTGACTGTAAAAGTTTTTGGTCAGTAGAGGTCGAATGACCGAAGGAAGTTTCTGAGGGTGAACGACTGAAAGGCTGGTCAAACAGAACAGCATAATGATTAATTCCCAGTGGCTATTCGTGCAAGACCCATGCACTGACTTGTATTTGCCAGGGTTCGCAAATACGCCAAAATTGTTCAGATGACTCCGCCGAGGTTATGGAGGGAGTCACTTCAACTCCAGAAAATTTCAGTAACAATCAGGGAGCCACTTCAACTCCAAAGATTTTCGGTAAGAAACACAGTTTTGTCCTTACCTTTTTTGCAACAAATACAATTTATGGTAATTGTAAACGTTGCAAACCTTAATTAAGTCATTGAAATTAAAGAATTTTACTGCACGACAAAACAGGAAGAGGGTAAATTAGGATCAAAGTTTACTGAAGAGCACCATCATGGATTTGAGTTTTCCAGGTCAGCAGACCGTCATAGCTACTTCGTGTATCCCTCACGATAGTGTAAACGTGCCAGGAACACATACTGGAAAGTCTGAAAATGGCCATTTTGTTGTGATAATTGACTCCAAAATTTGTGAAGCAGAAGTCACACTGACTACAGTCATCAATACAATTTGCAAGCCCTGTATTTGCTATTCATACAGGATTCTTTCCACAGACGTAAATTTGTGGCCACATTTTATGGGTTGGTTTGGTTCTGTTTTCTCTTGAAATTTCTGCTCAACTAATGGTCATGAAAGTCTAGGTCTCTTAAAGTTTTAAGGAAAATAAATTTAGAGCAGCATGACAGAACCTGTACTTAAGGGTCGTCCACTCATCCCAAACCAGTAAAAAATTCCAAAAACGAGTAGTTTTCTTCCCCACTAGTCCTCTAGATGAATTAAGTAATCACTCTCTGAGAAATACATAATGTACATGTTCTTTTTTGTTGTTTTTTGTATCGTACCAAAAAGTGCTGAAGCCTTGAAACAAAAAAGAATTGCCAAAGGCAAACGTTTCAAAAACAAACAGGCAAAAAGGCCTGGGCATTCTCTTGCGGAGTAAAAGTCTGGGTTCTGCGTGAAACAAAATGCACTGTGGGATAGGAGGTGGCAGCTTTTGGTTTCGATGGTCCAAATGTATTTTCCTTTGGTGAAATAAAACATAAGCCAAAGTATGTCGAAATGGAAGCAAGTGCAAGGCTCACTGTACTCTTTCTTGGGAGGAAAGCAATCATCATATCAAAGAAATTAACACTGGATCTGAAACACCTGCTTTGACCAAAAAAACACGCAAATACCAGGAGGCATGGAAGGATAAATACAAATGACTGCGGCTTGATGGAAAGGAAATCAAAATGTTCTGCGCATTTTGTAGAGAATTCCCGAATAGGAAAAACGTGCAATACTCCCTTAGGATTGGAACGAATAATTTCCAAACAGACAACCTGAATTGAAAGCACATAAGGCCAGTAAAGGACATACTGTAAGACACTTGTTTTGGCAGCCATGTCCAGGTAAATAAATAAATACTATTGTTGCATTTATTTGAGTGCAGTTTCATATATTAACTTGCAGACACAAATAGCAAACATTAAAAAAAAATTGAAAATGATGAGAGTGATCAGTAGTTTTGCTGAAGGACCGTTAAATTTTAATCCTACTAGTCCTGCAGAAGACAAGAGCCAAAAGTAAAAAATATTTTATGCCTGCTGAAATAAACCAATGAAAAGAGAGGATCAGTTATGTGATATATGCAGGCAATCAAACTCGAGAACCATTGCAATGTTCACGCCCTCGTTTTCTTGCATCATTTGTCAAAGAAATCATGCTGCCATTTTCAAAGCTTAAATCCTTGAAACAACGAACAATTCGAAAATTCTTAGTCTCCTTAGCTAGAGCATAGTTAATGGAGGTGACTGGTTATGAAGCCCGGCAAACATCAAAGGAGCAAACAAAGATGCTAAGATTTATGTTAGAAGGTCCATGACCCTGCACAATCTTTTGTTTTGCGTTCATACGTTATGCATGAATTACGTAACCAGCACGTTTCTATTGGTTAGTTCCTCAGTACGGAGTAAACAACTATTGTGTTTTGTGCAGGGTCAAGGCCAAAAAAGAGAACAAAAACATACAACAAAGAACTTTGTCGGGTTTCATAACCATTCCCTCTATTAACTATGGCTAGAGGAAGATAATCTACAAAAGGTAGAGAAGCTTATCATGTAAATAATGTTTGTAGTAGCTCCATAGTCAGTGATGAAGTGCATGGAAGTTTTGCAGCCTCAAGCCAAAAGCACTAGGGTTCAATCAATTATGCCAAACTGTTTGTTTAACCAGGGTTAATATTTGTACACATGTACATTTAATTTTAACTCTTACAAATAAGCTTTCATGTATTTATATAATGTTTAAAAACTCAAATGGCACAATATTGTAATTTAGAGCCAGTTTTGGGCAAAAATAAAAGCGGCATGTAAATGCTTGCGTGATATGATTCAGACTGCCTTTGTTGTCAGTTTTTGCAGTCTTTATTTTCTCAAATCCTTCCAAAATAGTAAATAGTAAATAGTTTATGTTCTTGGGCATCAATGTGTTTTGTGCCCTTCTCAGAGCTCATTTTAACCCTTGTCTAGTAGCTCAGGCTAAAATGGGTATGAGTCGGGCCCAAAATATATTTATGCCTGCTAACATAAACCCTGCTGTTTTATCACTATTCTCAGAAATCAATTTTCCAAATTCCTCAGCAACCCCCCCCCCTCCCGCCCCTCTCTAAAGTCCAAAATCTTTCTCAGGTGCATTGATTAAAGGTGAGGTGAGTATGTTGTAGGCCTAAGCATTTTTCCTGTATATAAAACTTCCTAAAGAATGTTTTAAACTGTTTAGTCATTATTGTGAGTTGGATGTAATCAAGTAGGCTGGGAAGAAAGACCAAGGTGTAAGCAACATGTTTGTGCTTTATACCATCCATCTTGCCACCTAAACACTATTTTCCTGCCTTTTTACTAAACATATCATTTAAGATTCGGTTCACCAATGGATGACATCACTTCTCTGAAACCAAAACTCGTTTCATTTCAATGTTTTAGAAAAAGTATATCTCAAAGAAATTGAGGCCATGCGTGCTTTTTAGAATAATTGTCTTTTATTTATTTGCATTATCAAAATTTTTTTTGTCAGTTGTATTTTTTAACCCTGAATTTTTTCACATATGCATGTGCTTACCATATGCATACAAGAAGCTATGCCCCTGGGCCTGGTTCCATGAAGGCTGATTAATACTAATCCAGGATAAAAACTTTTGTTCCAATTTTTGATAACTTCCTATGCACTGCTTAGAGTAACATGCTAGGTTATCATCACTGAATCTCTGAGTAAAGATGCAATGCTTAAGTGACATGTTCAGATAGACAAGAAACCTTGCTTAAAATTTGGCATAATCCTGTGTTTCACTTAACCATCTTTCAAGGAACAGGTCCCTGAACCCTAATCAGTATTTTTCGGAACAATCCAGTATGAATAGGAAGTACATGTACAAGTCAGTGTATGGGTCCCTTACAAATAGCTACTTGGTAATTTATTTGAGAGCTGCTGGATTAGACGGCCGTATTAATATATAAATGACTTGCTGCCACCAATTGAAAACAGCTAGATTTTATAATAACACTGATATGACCGTAACATCTATAAAATGCTTCATCGCTAATCTATAAACTAGTTGAATAAAAAACCTTGAATAAATCTAACACCGTATAATATTGAAAATCTAAGACTTAGAACTAGGTCTGAAAAGTTGATTGCACAAAACAGACTTAGCCTAAAACATGGACTACATGCTACAGACTGAGTGATATAGACATTTAGCCAAGCCTAAAACAGAGCTGCAATTAACCACAACATCCGAAATTGCACTGACCAGAATAGAAAATATAACAAAGACTTGAGGCTTGTATTTTTTCAAATACTATATCTTTGATTTATCTAACCCATTAGTGTTTAATTTATGCCAAAACTAGCCATGATTTTGGCCCATTACACAAAGTCCTCCACACCTCCCCAGGAAAGAGTTTTTTGTCCTCTATTGTTTTAAAGGCCCTGAGAGTGATTGACCAATCAGAATTTGTCTTCTGAACATAAATGAATTCAATGGTATTGTCACCTTTGCATCCTGCAACCCTGACAATAATTCAGAACGTAAGTCCTGCTTGTTTGGTTTGAAATCAGTGGTATCATCTTCCTTAAGTCAAGAGTGCAATGTTGTATGCCTACCAAATAGGTCCTGGAGAAAGTTTTAGATGAATCAACAGCAAGCATTTCCACATAAGGTTACACTCCAGTGGATAGTTATATCCGACAGCCGACAGATATAGAACTAAAACTTATTTTGTTTTGCAAGTTTTTAACAAACAGAAAATGATTAATTATTATATAACAGTATTCAAAAGCCCAAAAGTTTAAGCGTAGAACGACAATAATTTTTGGAGTTTCAGGGGCGTAGCTAGGGTTTTGTCCTGGGATGCCCGTGGACCCCCCGCCCCCGTCTGTGAGATCATTGTTTTATGTCTCTATAATCCAGATGGCAAAAACGTGCGAATCCAAAGAATCAACACGCACTAAATCTTTTCCAGTGCTCGACAGTTGTACAATCCATTTGTAGGACCGAACATCTGCAGTGGCCGTTTTATACACACGCCACGTAAGGCGCGCAGAAATTCGTGACCAAGATAGTAAATTGGCGACCCCTGGATGGTGTTGCTGCTTGTGCACATTGATGAGATCGTTAACATCTTTGCCTCTCAACATCCACGCCGCCTCTTACTAAAAGACATTTCGACTGATGAGCATTGAGACTGAAAATAGAGTAATTTATGTTATGTGGATTTTAATTCATCTATGCATCTGTCCCTCCCTCCACGCTCACTGCTTATCCGAAAAAAATGTCACTTTTAGTACAACACGGCGTGAATGTCGACATGTCAACTGGTAAGTACCTTGAGTGTGACAAAGTGTGACGGACCCCCCTAGCTACACCCCTGAATTTCCTTTTTCATCAAGTAAGTTACGCTATACTTTCATGCTATGTTTTACGGGTAGGGAATCTTATTACTGCAAAATTATATTAAATGTTACTTTTTGTTTTATTGTAGGAATAAGGATATTTAGCTTATCATGGTCACAGTCACTGGGATCTCATCTATTTATTCAAGTGTACGTTTGCTGCGATTCTGCCCTTGTCTGATTCAGAAGATTTCATTTTGGACATTTACAGGGCTTAATAACAGGTACACTACATCATGGCTGTCATTTGTTGTGACAAAACCGTCAAGGAAAATGGATGAAGTATACTTCTTAAAATTTGTTGACTATTCTGCTTTGGCGAATCAATCATGGCCATCTAGAGAAGATATTCAAATAAACAAGAGAATAGTGTCACTGAAGACAGTTGAAGAGCAACTTGAATTGTTTGAGAGTGTTAAGAGTTCTTCAAACATGGTAAACAGAGTCACCGCGCTTGTTAACATTGTGAAGATCACGGAGAGAAGTGAAAAACAAAAGGAAGCCTTGAAACAAGAAAGAGAGAAGCCACAGAGGGGGAAAAGTAGCATGTACATGAAACTACTGGAAAGTATTTCAAGGGACATTAGCAGTTGTGATGCCCAGGGACTTGCAAATGTGTTATGGGCTTTAGGGAAACTAGAAGAGAAAGATCACAGATTAGTTCTAGTTTGTCAGAACGAGATCCTGTCACGTGACATCAAAGCCTTTAACAATGCAAACATCTGTCAGATTGTGAATGGATGTGTAAATCTGAACTTAACATCATCAGACATTTTTTCGAACATTCTTGATGCAATTTTAAACGGGCAAGTTAAGATTCAACATTTTGATAATCGTGGTTTCTCAGGAATTCTGATGTCTTATGCCAAGGTAGAAAATTGTCCGGTAAAACTGTTGAATATTTTCTTGGATAAAATCCTCTCAAAAGACTTTGTGAGCATTGACAGTGGTAGCTTAGCTGCATTTGTGTGGTCGTTTGCAAAAAAGACGTTCTTTCCTAAAGAGTTATTTCACCAAGTAGAGAAGGAAATTTTGAGAAGAGGAACAGCTGATATGAAACACGAGGAAATCATTCAGATCCTTTGGGCGTTCGGAACGGCAGAAAAGGGAAGTAGAGAACTGTTGAATTTGCTGGACATGGGACTTACCTCAAGAGGTGTTGGAAAATTAGACAATGCTGCTTTGTTAGAAATCGTTTGGTGTTTTGCAAAAAGGAATGCTACAAAAGCAAAAGTGTTTGACTTTGTCAAGAAAGAGGTTTTAAAACGTGGTGCTCATGTGTTTCAGAATCATGAGCTTGTTCATATTCTACGAGCGTTTGTTTCTGCCCAGAGACACGATGACAGGTTGGTTGCAGAAATTGAAAGAGAACTGTGTTTGAAGGATGTTAAACAGTATGACACTGGTCAATTATGTCAAATTGCATGGTCTCTTGGAAGAGCAAGGAACTATGGGAGTAAGATGTTTGATGCCATTGAAGCGGAGTCACTTCACCGGGGAGTTACAGTGTTTTCCTTAAAACAAAAATGTATGTTAATGCGAGGTTTTATCGAGGCCAAGAGAGGAACTACAGAATTCTACGAAAGTTTAGTTAACTCCTTTTCCACGGATGACTTACACAAGTTAAATCGCGAGGGTATTTGCGAGTCTGCTTGGTGTTTCTCTAATGCAGGTGTCCCAGTAGAATCACTGTTCCGTGCTCTAGAAGAGGAAATCCTGGCAAAGAGAAGATCTTATTTTACAAAGAAGAATCTTGATTCTTTAAAGAAAAGCTTTAGAAAAGTTGGAAAAGGAAGCAAAGCATTGTTTACGCTGTAAGAGCTCCCTGTTTTTGGTAAAACAAGTCAGAGCATAGCATTTTTCATTTTTTTGGGCGGTGACACTTGGAATTTGAAGTTAGTTTTTTAGTGTGTGCGTGTGTACGTATCAGAATAAATTAAGAAGTGAACTGAAACTAGAATCGCATCTCAAATCTCAAACCTCAAATCTTTATTTTAACACGGTAAAAATTCATCAGTAATTAGTCTGCGTCGCTGGTGGAATTAGCGGCCTGTAGCCGTAAAAGTTCTTGGAGAATACTGTCTATTTGAAAACGGCGGAGGCGCAAACTAAACTGGAACAATCCGTTAATTTGAAATATCCCATCAAACTTGTTTTCATTGTGAATTTAACCAGGTTTGTGTAAGACACTGACTGATGATCCACAATATGCTTTGTCTTGAAACGATCCAACTGTTTCTTCAGGTAATGCTGCAATTTAAAAATCTCCAATTGTCCTTATCGCCAATCTCTTCCCTTGTACAGCAGAACGGGCAGCTGTGCCCTTAGCTCCAGGAGTAAAGGCGACTAAAGGTGCCGCGGGACGTATTCTCCCACATCTAAATGTTATGTGGATACAAGTTGAGCAGCGAGACTCTAAAAATGCAAGCGTTTCTTTTTTTTTTTCGTGTGTGCGCGCCAAAATACTGACACTCAAATATAAAAAATTACATTTACGTTGAAAAGCTACTAAAAAGGTAATAAAATTTGAAAACCTGTCGATACAAATACGGATTAACCTTGATCTACGAACTGATCATAACAAAACTCTAGACACAAGTGAAACGTCAAGTGCAAACATAAAATAAACTAAAAATAACCTCAAAAATAATTCACCGCATAACCATTCCCGGGTAAAAGGAAAATAAACTTGAACAAAGGTAAATTTTTACCCGATGCATAAAAAATTTTATATTCATTTTTTTTTGTCTTGGCGATGCAATAATGTAGCCTTATTAAAAATAGTGAATTAACTTCCATCTCCTCTTTTGGAGAGATTTGTATTTCACTGAATGTAAAGTACGTGGGCCTTTCTTTAGAGGTAGGCTGACTTGCAGTTCCCTATTCTTTTCATATATACTTAACTGATCCGGCCATTCAATATCTTTAAGCACCAGTTTTATAGCTTTCATCTCCCTTTTTGTTGGCTTTTTTTTTTCTCGTTTGTCCTCTTTTCACTTGGTCTTGTTCTTTGCTAGTCCAGGTCCCAAATTTATCCTATCTAGGGATGATTGCATTTTATTATTGAATCGAAGCTGCCACATGGCCCCGGTATGCAATTTCTTAGTCGGAGGCACAGCTAGCTTTAATAATCATAATCTCTTACAACTTTCTTTACACCAGAAATACAAAAATCTGTGAACCTTTGGTTACCTTTTGTTTTTAGTTTTTCTATCTTAAACATTAATCTCTGTACCATTTCATCATATTGTCCATATTTTTCCTGGCGTCAGACTGTGGAAGGGGAGCTCAGGACCCTCAGCACACCATTCAGAAGCTGGCCTAGAACAGACAGGAGTGGTGATCCTTTGTTCCTGCCCTACATGCCTGAAGGCATTCATGGGCATGAGTGAGTGAGTGAGTGAGTGTGTCCATATCAGTTACAGTTCCTCGTCATACTGGGTGGTGGGGGGGGGAGGGGTTGCCATTTTTCTTTTGGTCAAGAGGGGGTTGTCAAAAAATTCTGTATGATGTGGGGGGTCCAGGGATATTTAAAAAAATTGCCCCTTTAAAAAAATATCCTCTGCCCCTTCTGCAGCAGTATGCATATTGAATGCAGCCTTGGCAATCTCCCGCGTACAACCATAACTGGATCAATGGTACACGCTAAGCCGTTTCTCACTTGCTATAAAGTATTACGAGTAAATGTATCAGGCAATTACTGTAACAAAAGTAGAATACACAATTTTTCCTAATTATGAAAATGGGGCTGATAATTTGCAACAATGGGAAATTTTATACTTGTATTAAAAGGTTTTTCATATGTAGTACTTCGTACTCAAACTGACCCAGTTTTGTTCATAGAAAAGACCCACAATAAGACAATCTATATTTTGCTGAAAAAAAATATTTTACGGGGAAGGACCGGGGGCATAACTTATGTATATATTCAGGTTTCATTTATTGTAATCTGCTAACAATTTAAAGAAAACGGGCTTCATTTTCAATTTTTAAAGAGAAACAACATTGACGCATTCGTGATTAGCTTTTCAGGTAGTTTTCTTAATTTATGCGGATTATACCTATTCTTATTCAGTCGATTTACTGTCTGCCTATGCTTCTAGTTTGTCACAAAATTGTTCCGTTTTTCGTGCTGAATTACATCACTTTTTGAAACTACTAAGTAGAAAGCCACTTTTTGTTACACTGCTTAACCTCGATTTAAAAATGCTGTAAGAAAAACTACAAGTGGCCCGGCAGTTCAGGCTATAACAACAGTCTGAATAATGGCGGGAAAGAGTCGATAAAAATTTAGCAAAGTATATGGTGCGCTATGTATTTGGGCGTTTAAGGTGTCCTCCTCTTCTAATCTTCTAATTCTCTCCAACCCTGTCTCCTAATCCTAAGGATTAGAAGAGAAGGATGCTGTGTTACAAAGGACTAGCACTGTTAACAGACCTTCGAAAATGCTGAGGTCACCAAATGGACAGCGGAACAGGCACAGACTAAATTTTTGCCGCAAGACTCACAATGAACTTTGGTATTTTGCATGGGTCTTGTAAACCGTAAAATAAGCAATCCCTATGCAAGCGGCCTATATAGCTTTTCGGTGGTAAATAACGAAAGACGGCTGGTATACCGCAAGTCTGTTATAGTCTGTTTGAGGGTGGCGTCATTTTCACTCGTTATCCGGTACTTTGTTAAGCCGATTTAATCCACAATTATTGCCTGTACGGAATAACTCAGTGAGCGAGAGCCGAATACAAATGTATAACTTTCAATCGCCTTCTTGTGCATGTTACACTCTATTGGCTAAGGCGCTTATTTCTGAAAGTACTCCGCTTGACTTGATGAATATTCATTATAGTTTTAGATAGAGCTGGTTATTCTTGAAGATAAAAAACAGCACTTGAATACGCCATGCTGCCAGCTGAACAAAAGAGCAGAGATTCCGACTACTGTGTGTGTAAAAGAAATATGCATTTCAAATCTAAGCAGTCAGTGGTGAACTACAGCACAATGCTCTCAGCGGAATTAAGATTGTGATTATCTTGTCGATATCTGATCGCCTTTCCGATGAGGATTAGAAGAGTATATGAAGAACTTCTGAAACAAGAGAAACGAAAAGTACTCCAGTTAAAGTGCTTATCTGGAGCGGCAGCGTTTATTTTCGTAGCTGGATTTTTTGTGGTATTTCTGGGTTTGGATGTCGTTCGAAAAATAGCAAAAGGCTTCAGTTATAAGGGCGCAAATTGTGTAGTGGAAGGTTCTGTTATTACAGACAAAAGTGAGAGCTGTACTTGTGGAATGCACCCCTGCATTAGCCAGTATCCATGCTTGCAAGTAATGGTCAGAGTTATCGATAATAGGGCGGAGAAAAGCGAATCATCCAAGCTTGTTCTATTATACAACAACATCTACGATCTAGGATCTAACGTAAGTACCCTATGATGCCATTATTTACTCACACTTGTGCGATTTCAAACACGTTTAAGAAACTGCTAGTGTTAACAACCACATCCTATGGAAAATACAAAGCTTAAAACATGTTAAAATCATCACTTATTTTTCAGGATGATGCCAACATGATAAGAAATGTTTTGTGCTAAGATGGCAACTCAAGCATTCGGTCAACAAATCATCGTGTTTTAATTAAACAATGCAAAGTTAATCGGAAAATGCAAATTTTTATGAAAAAAGAATGACCAAAAACAGTTAAGGATACCATTCTCTTATAGGGAGAAGGAAAGTTTAAAATTTATTTATTGTCACGCAAAACTTGCAGATTAGTAAATTGAAGCGAGAAAAAAAAGGACATCAGTTTTTTGAAGGTCTTCTTAGATAAATAAACACTGTCCATCTGTTCGCGTCACACTTCAATGTGCATATTATTATTGCGCTTGTTTGCACAAAGAGCTACAAAGGTTAGTTATTACTCTGCGTTTTTTTTTTGCGTTGTAATTACTTACACTGGCACTGTAGTGATCGAGCTACTGAGATATTTAGTTTCTCCTAGTTCGCTGAATAGCGTGATGATGATGAAATAGGCATCTACTTTATTTATAATCATTTTGGCTACCTAGAATGATTTTAATGAAGTTTATTTATACATCTTTTTCTTTAGTATGGTAGTATCATTGATAGCAAGCCATAAAACTAGCATAACATGCTAATCATATATACATTCGTTATAACGAAAAAGGTTGCCGCTGAAGGTCGATATAATGCCACGTCAGCATCTTACACGGTATAATTTTTCTCCCAGTCAACGTTTGCCCACGAACCCGTGAAGTCAGGTTTCAAAATTTCTGTTCGAAAACCTGACAGGTACTCGGCAACTTCGCTCACAGAGAATGGATAGCGTGCTCATCGAACAGAATGCACCCTACTGTATCCTGGCCCAATTTTTAATAAAGCCGGACTACATGGGGTTTTAATCATAACCGGGCTATTTATAAACACAAGGAAATTAACAGGTCAAAGTCAACGGCTCAACGCCACCTGTCAAATTAACAAGATCATTTGAACTGAGACACTCAACCGTGCAAAGCAGGTGTCTTTTGTCTGTTGTACGAGAACCAAATTTAACTCAGGCTATATTCACACTATACCGGATAGTTTCTGTTCAGTTATAAGACTAACGGTGATTTAGGCGCGATTTCTGTAACGAGCCGAAACTGCGCCTCGCCAATCTCGAAAGTGGAGCGGTTCTATGCCATACTTTAGTGCAGTGGCTTGGAACCCTTATGCCTAGGAGCGAGGACTGAAACCCACAGAGACAAAAGCGTGATTCGGTAATCGGTAAATATTCTTTAGTGCATTAAGCCCTCTCGGCCAACCGCTCTGGTCCCTGCAAGATGCGTGTGAACGCCTTGTTCCATTTCTGTGCCGTTAGGCTATTCTCTTTTATTTTTTACTGTCACGCCATCAAAATAAAAAAGCAAACCATTCAATACAGAAAGCCCAGAATCTTGGAAATGAAAATCCTCGCCAAGAATCAGGTCTGTGCGATATTTCATATGCGAGATATTCGGAATATATATACACTTTGGAGACGCCATGTTGGTGTCCATTTGAGGGGTACAAATGGCCGCTGAAAGCCAACCGAAACATCTGTCTTGACTTTTCCTACAAATGTGTGTATTCATCGCTTGAGGAACTCATAAATATTAGAGTCATATTTATTCTAAGACAAGGAATGTTTCGATAGCAAAATCTCAAAAATCAGTAACGTTTTTAACCCACATAGCTTTTCCGACCGCCAGCTAAATGCCGCGTCAGGCAAAATCCTGGAAATTCAAGCATCCTCTTTCGCAAAACGAAGAATCCTTTCGCAAACCGAAAATTTGTATAAATAAAGGTGTTTAGGTGCTGTACTTCCTCATGAAAGTAGAAACTCAGAAGAATCGATAATTCCTTCGTTTGAATTTTTGGTGAGGTCATGTGAAAACAGAGAAAACCGGACAGATTCTCAGTTATTCTCCGGTTTAGTGTGAATCATGAGCATAGGATCCTGTGTGAACATACAGAATGACATTTAGTATGGTTTGGTAGTTGTGCTTTTGTTTGATGAGATCTTTTGGTGATGCGTACAAGCAATGTAAAATGAAGCAATCTCCGCCAGGATAGAAAAAAACCGACTTAATAAAGTTCAGATCAAGAACATATTGGTCTCGTTCAAAGTTTTGCTCCTTATTATGCATCTCGTTTTTGATGTGGGTTTTGAATTTATTTGCATAAGATGACCCTTACTCTGCTAACTTTTGTTACCCCAAAACCAAGATTTCAAAATTGTAATTGCGACAATAAAGGATTATTGATTATTATATTGATTATTTCTAAATTGGTTTCATTTCCTGTACTGACTTCCAGTGTACTTACGGACCGCCTTGCAAGACTGACGAAAAGCAAAACATTGCGTCCGTGCAGGAGTATGAACGTAAGAGGGGACGGAATGGTTCAGTTCTGGAATGTTACTTTAATCCAAGCAAACCCGACGAGGTTCTTGTTGATATAAACGTTCACGAGACGGTAGCTTTTCATGTGTTCTTCTGGCCTTGCTTTGGCTTTGTTATTGGTGTATGTATGATGATAAGGGCATGGCATTTGAAGAAAACCCAGAAAAAGCAAGTTAACTTCTCAAATGAAGTTCCCTCTTCAGTGGAATGGGGATTTAATAATGGTTCAAATGGTATATATAACTGTCGAAAGATAAAAGGAGGTAGCGCATTAGCTACAACTATAACTTTATAATAAGGTTATACGAAATCATCTGAAGACTTCACTACGATGTTCTTTGGAAACGTTATTGTAGCAGAGACACAACTGTCAAGTAGTTGTTTGGTTTGTGAGAATAAGGAAACTTGAATCATCACCTTGACTGAAACAAAGAAACGTCAAATTCAAATTGACAAATTCCCAGATAAGCTAGGAAATGAGCAGATAAAAGCCGTGCAAAGTTATTTTCAAGGACAAAACTGCTGGCATGGTACTACTTTTATTTGTGTTAATATATTAAATATGGGGAGAAATTGGACACGTGGCACAAATCCACGTTTGCTATTTGCAATAAACGTGATTTTCAGGGTCGGTCAAATCTCGAACTTCACATGTAACGAACCTAATGCTACTGAGCAAAATCCATTGTTCTCGCTCATTTAGAATTAGGTTCGTTGCGTGTGAAGTTTGACCCGGGTATAAGACTCTCTACCTTGTTGTTAAGTTAGGCAAAAAAACTAATGAAGACTTGCGCTTAACACGCCTGCCAATGAAGGAACCTGGGATAAATTTTACAAAACTTCTGCAAGTTAATTTTAAAATGTAGCTATTGGACGTATTACCATCGTACCTGGTTCCAAAATGGTATACCTGACTTTTGAAAACCCATCCCGGGTTTCTGTAAGCCTCTTTATCAATGCAAGGACTAGTGGGGTAAACCTTCCTTTTATAAAACGAGTTAATTCCTTGCGTGAATAAAAAAATTTCTCCTTAATCTAAGATTGCCCAGTGTCAATAACGTGTGTGAGGTGTTAAATTTATCGGGTGTTTTATCGCACAGGTCTAGTGTCTCCCAATATAAGTACACCCCCATGCCGCTGAAGGGAGCTAGCATCGTGAAGGTTATCTTATGTTACATTTTTGCACCAAGTAAACTCGAACAGGAAACGAATGGGAATGCAAACAAAGCAAATAGACCATAGTCAGGGGCACCCAACGACAATTTTCGGGAAAATATCTGTTCGCAAGACGATTTGAGATCTAGAATTTTCGGAGCATTTGTTGTAAAATTTCTTGCTTGCCTGCCTCTCCTAGGATTTTCGAACATCTACAAAATGGTATAATTACCCATTTTTAACGGATTTTGACCCTAAAAATAGAATTTTCGGGAGCCTTTTCCTGGCTGAAGTTTTCGAGAAGGTAAGTTTTTATCCCTATAATTTTCGGATCACTAGACTTTCAGCTAGGAAATCCGAACAGATGAAAAGTTTTTAGGGGATAAAAATATCCCTATATCTACTGTTTGAATACTTAACTACGTTCAACAATGCTATGTTAAGTGGTTTTGAACTATATATATCCTCGTTGGGTGCCCCTGCATAGTGGCGTCGCTGGTAGCGAACTGGAACTATAGCTACCAGTCGAGGCTATATAGTAAGAATTCCCGCTGGTGGTCTCGACTGGAAGCTAATTCCAGTGATACAAACTGGTCTACTGGCACCTGGAACTTGACCTCCTGGCCTCATAGACCCGAGGAAAAGAATTAGTTTTACTAAGTATCCCTTAACAGACAGGTCGGATTGCTAAAAAGCTGGAGGTGAAAAATGTACCTCTGAGGTCAGGAGAATACTTTCTAGGTTTTTCGTTCTCCGGAGAGTCTCGATTTTTCTGGAGAAGAAAACAAAGAGCAGCCTTTCATTTGCTCAGGATTAATGGGGGAGGGGAGGAGGGAGGGCAGGGTACAAGGGGGGTTGGTAGACGCCACAGGTGTGTAGAAGCTTAAGTGAGACCCGCCCACAAAAGAAGCGCGTGGGATAAACTATTCCGGAGAGAAAAACTGAAGAGGCCACACTTATTAAATAAGGTTATCACACTTAATTTGATCATCTTTGAATATTTTCGTTTGCATTGAAATTAACATGAAATCTTAATTTACATAGTGTCATACACATCTAGCTATGTCATAAATGGTATATCTATAATTTTAAGCGGCAAGAGTTACGACTGTTTAAGTTTTCTAGACATGTTTCGGATGAATAACATACTTCGCTAGTACTTACAGAACCTGCTAATGGGTGTGACATAATGTGAAGTAAAACAAATAGCTGATTACAACCTGAAAGTACGGAAACTGTGATGTTTATTATTGAATTTAATACCACCTGCTATAAGGACCAAAGTCTGTCACCGTGGAATGGCTAACAACGAATTGAGCTGAAAAGGAACTACTACATTTTGGTCTCGCAAAAGAGTGACAAAACTATCAGTATCTAGGGAAGGGTGGGTATTCTTTATAGGTATTCACAGAAACGTACGTCACATCTTGATAACCAAATGCGGCTGGTCCGCCTGTGGCCAACCCTTGCGGTTTAGTCCATAGTGGAAAGCAAGGCATAAATATTGCAGCGACTCGCAAACCATAACGGACTTCCTCAGTGGTGACTGGTTCCCCTGTGTCTTCTTCTACTAAAGAAATGAGGTCTGGTACAGTAGCCAGGATATTCTTAGAGCCATCAGGGTTTGATGTAAAGGCAACGTAGTTCTCATTTTGAAATTCAATTTCAAGGTTAACGCCACTAAAACGTGAGGAACCTTCAATTGTCAACCTGCCCTTGTTGAAGGCACCCTCCGTAACACGGCTCACGTCAGCAATCTAAAAACAAAATAAAATATACAGTACTGGTAAACGGTTTTAACTCACAACTATCAGAAATGCCGGACATCTATCATGCTTTTTTTGCTTGGTTATCAGCTCTCTGGCTGTTTTCATTTCTTTATGAGATCCGTTAAGTCATTGACCTTCAAGTATAGTTACTTACTATTATTTTTTTCAGTTATGGGGATCTATTATTACCATTACTTTCCATAGTATGAGCTGGGCAGTAAAAGCAACGCAACCTTGTTTCAAGAGGACGACGAAACATTCTTTAAACAAAATTACAAACAAGAACATTTGTCAAACCTTTCCAGTGATCAAAAGTTTGCCATTCTCATGTTGTAGAATGCTCTCTACAGGGGACTCTTTATTGTGTCTTGCACGTAATACTGCATTGCCTAAGCGCCGGGTTCGGCTCAGAGAGTACAGGGCAAACTTATCCTTTATATCTGTCCAGTTAACAATGAACGATAACCCAGCCATACACCTAAGATAAAGAATATGAGATTCAGATATATCAGTTACACTCAGTAAAACAAAATTCTGAGGCCAATGGTAGCCGCGATATAGTGGTTAACCTCCCAGGGTCCAGTTATTCGAAGGTCGATTAGCGCTAACCTGGGGTTTACCTCTTGTCAAAAGCATTTTCACGGATGATTTTTTCAATTCTTTTTCGCGCATCAAATTGTAGACAAAAAGTAATTACACACAATTTGCTTTTTAACACTTTCAGTCAAAATTCAAATTTTTAACTAATCCTACGTTATCAATCCAGCTTCGAAAAGCCCGGTCCAAATGTTTTGGGGGGCCAAGGTCTTGTATGATTATAATACCTACCCCATTTCCAGTGTTTTCATTCTGAGGAAATCCTCCAATCGCTTAGCACCATCAGCAAACGTGACAGCGGCCACATGACCAGTTTCGTTAGCAACGGCCGCAGGGTACGGCGGGCAGCCATAAACAAACGGCAAAAACATCTGTAGCTCAGGAAAGGCTCGGCCCATGCCATCCGCGTCCACAATAGGGATATTGAGCTCTGCACCTACTGTTAAAGGTTCAATGGAGTTGGCACCGCCTATTTCAGCACACACTAACGCAACTAGTTTCTTTGTGGATGGAAGCTAAAAGGATATAAAGTGAAATTGATGCTGTTAAATCTTTAAAATTTCGACATTTCGATTATCTCAGTCTGAGCTGTAAAAATCTTGAATTCTGCTTTTCTTAGCCTGAGAGCCGACAATTTTCGACACTACCACTGGTTCCCCGCCAAATGACGTCTGAGAAACGAGCGCAGAAATTCCATACTGATGACGTGTCACTACCCAGATCTGGGTAGCGCTTCTGATTGGTTAAAGCAAACTTCCCTCGCGGCACGCCCAAACAGAAACACTACCCAGAACTAAGTGGTGATACGTCATCAGTATGGAATATCTACGCTCGTTACCCAGATATCCAATTCTTCAGCCGACCGTGGGGTGACCGATTTTCATAGGCTATGCCGTTTTTTCTAAGTACAGCGCGTGCCCTCCGGAGCCGGGAGCTGTTACCTACGGTCAACTCTCTAGAACTGTCTTTTTGCAAACCATCTGGTGAGTAGAGTCTATGGTAAAGAGCGCAACTAAACAATGTTGTTTCTGTTTATAAGCCATTTCGTTCACAGACGGCCCAAGCATAAATTACCGCGAGTTTCGATACTGTTTTGCGTATTATGAACGATTTAAAGACTTTGTATGAGAAATTCAATATAGTCGTTAAAACGCAGAAATATAGACATAAATATAGAAATAAATTATACTTTCGTAAACTTGGGCCTGTTGTTGCTTTTCCTTCTAACCTGGGCTCAATTATTCATTGTTATTTTATACGGTTTTGCGGCTCGTTGTTTGTTCGGTGTTGTTTTCCTACATAAAGCGAAGCAAGGCAGGTGACTGTGTGCAGTCTCAGCTTACAAATCTCTCCCGCATCAAAGAACCGCGCACCGATTCACCACGAAAGCGCCGAATCCTTAGGCCACGTCAGTCTCTTATCTCTTCCCCTCGTTATGGGTATTGCGATGTGTTATTCGTGGGAAATGACTTCGTGTTTCGTAGTGAACGCGAACATGGACTCAGGGGAACCGGGTAATCAACGTTGCATGACCATACATGGATCTTCCTACCCTCTGATAGCCTACTAATTGCGCGTGAGCGGTGTTTGGAATTATCTTATTGGATGAGCGTAAATAAAACGTCCGCGTAAGTTTACGTAAGTACAATTTATTTCTATATTTGTGCCTATGTTTCTCCGTTTTAACAACTATATTGAATTTCTCATACAAAGTCTTTTAATCGTTCGTAACATGCAAAACAGTATCGAAACTCGCGGTAATTTATGCACCGAGCTTGGGCCGCCTGTGTTTTGTTCAGTTGATTATAGTACATTGCAGAATTTCGTTCACGCGAGAGTTTTAGAATAACAAGAGCGAATACTGGAGAACTAAATTTACCTCTGTTTTTATGCGGTCTTGGACGTCCTCTGCTTCATGTATCCCATCTCCAGTCTTCTCCTTGACCTGGTTTTTGTTGAATGCAATCACTGCCGCTGCCTCAAGCGCTGAAATGCATTCACGACCGCTGAACATTCTTTCAATGATGATCACTGGCGCACCCATAAAACATGGAACTCCCACTTTCCCTGTCAGTTGTGGGTTTGATCCTAACCTGCAAGATATATAACGTTAACTCTCCTAAAAAAAATATAAAATACAAAACTGATTCTTACAGCGGAGAAAAAAACTGAGGCTTCGTACTCGATATCACGGTTTGAAAAATCAATTTTTTTCAGGGGCTCTGAAATATAACGATTACACAGTTATGGGATATGATCGTAAAACAAACCAACAAGGTTCATGACAGTATGGCTGGTAAGAAGTTACATTCAAACGTGGAATAGGTGATGACATTTGAGCAGGGACAGTGATGTGGGTATTTTAGATAAGTTAGATAAGTTTATTTCCACCAACTCTCCACATCTATAAACAGACAAACGCGTCCACCGTTGTATGATTACGTCTGTATTCTCACCTGTTAGGATGAATAACACGGATTTCCTTGCCTCCCTTAAGAAGTTCCAAGGCTTTTAATCTACCAAGGTAGGGGCTCCCCCCTCCCCCACATCCCATGATTCCTGCACCAATAGCGATGCACTCAATATCAAACTCATTTAGAAGCCAGTCTCCAGTTTCAGGGTCTATATAAGGATCTCTAAACAAATTGGCCTCATCTTCTTCTTTTACGTTCATTTGCTCTGTAGGAGCAGCAGGGGATTCTGGCCGCCGGATCGATGCAGAAAGCTCCACCGATTCACTTTCCCTTGGTTTCGTCCCTGAAAAGAAATTTACGGTTGATAAGACCAATGACCACTTCTACTTTTACAGGCAAGAAACTAGAATCGAATCCAACATAAGGACACAAAGAAACAAACAAAACAAAACAAATAGCTTTCCAAAATTGTTTTTAAGACTGAGTGCCAACAATAAACCCTTACTTTCTGGTCCAAAAACAGAACAAAGAGAAATTTGTGTTAGGAAAACAACCGTGCATAGCTTGCTCTTTCGTTTTACATTGTTTGGTTAGGTGTTTCACGTTTTCAATTGGTTATTGTTTCATCCAACCTTCGTTTTTATTTTCATTTGTCCACTTCACTCTCTAGACTGTTCCCAACCACCTATATCATTCCATAACGAAGGAGATTGAGCAGTCAATTAGAAAACAGAGAACAAAAGTCTCAAAATTGACTTGACCTTTGTACCTTGATCCGTTAATTGCTCCAGGTTTTGTGCCTCAGACTCTGCTAAGTCTCCTACAACTTTTAAAAAGTAACGCACGGCATTTCCAGGGAGATATGCCAGAGGAACCTCCATCACATCAATCACTTCCAAGGTCTTTTCGTCAGCCCCAGCCTCCACTGCTTTCCTACGTGCCTCATTCTCGGCGTTTTCACGTGCCTTCTCACGTGTTGTGTTGTCCATTGGAACGACCTGATCAAACGTTCCACTGACTTTGCTTAAAGCAGCACCAACTGCATTTGCAACCTACAAAGGAATATCAGACTAGCTCATGAGCTATTTTACTTTCTCAATCAAGTCAGCATCATACGCGTTTTCTGTAGTGTCCGGGCTGAGGTCCAGGCTCAAAGGCTTTCACAAGACGGAGACAAGAGGAGGCTAACCTCTTATGAAGCGCAGCCGTTTTCCAGTAATTTTTGACAACACCCAGGCCGCAGGGCTGTCACTGAGATTTCAAGTTGCTAGGTAAATACAACAAGTACGCGGGGAATTAAGCAGTTAGGGATTTCTTTTGGTTCTATTTTTCTTCTATTTTCCTATGGAAGTAGCCGGGGGTTATATTCATGGGAAATTATAATTCACATATATACTTGTTCGGATTTGCTCCGCAAAATCCTGTATCCTATAATATCATATTTCACCATTCTATGGTACCTGATAATGCTTAGGACACAGCACATCTGAGGCTCCTTTCAGAATCTTGGTCCTGTCAGTAGGAGTCACATCTACAAGAATGCTGCCTCCACCGACAAGGATAACAGGCTGTTCCTCACCACTGATCTGTTTAACAGAAAGGTTTCCCTTTAGTGTTTAGCAAAAATATTTTAAAGTGCCTCGGGTGAATTTTAAGGTTATTTTTATAATGTGGCGTGATTGTATTGAGCAATGACCACCCAATTGCTAGCTAGAGTTACGTAAGCAGAACCCTATGCTTCAGGAGGGTTCATCCACGTGGGATGGTCCACAAAGTATATCATTTCTACTGCCTGTTTCAGGCTTCAAGATTTTAGGGAAAGCAGATCGAGAAAACTTTACGCGAAAACTGCATTGGTTGGAGAGAGATGGAAAAGTGAAGCTTGTAAGAATCGTTTTCAATACCTCATTTCAGTATACCAGCTCCTGGTACACCCTGTGGTTGACCAAGTCAATTTTTGCAGTTTACGTCAACACTTTTGTCACTCACTTGGCTTCGCACATGCAGAGTCAAACAAATATGAAAAATGTGTGAAACTTTCCCAGCCCTACACATTTGTACATTTAACATTTTGATATAGTAGGTGAAGTGAGGTGTTCATATTGATGCTTGCAAGCTCTTCCCTGGTCTGCTACACAGCCGTTCTTTGTGTCGTCACACAATGACACAAAGAACGGATGTGGAACAGACTAGCTCTTCCATTCTCTCTTCTCGCCGTTTTTCCCTTGCTCATCAGTCATTTTTTTGCTACGGCAGGCCTGTCTTTTGCTCATCTGCACTGACTGAGAGCCTGGCACAGAGAGATATAGGTAGCGAAAACTTCCACAAGCCGTACTATTCCAAGTCATTCTAATATACAGGATCTGAGAGAGATTTCATTTTGGCTCAACTCAGGTGGCAATTTTTTAAACAACTTTTTTGGAGCATATTCTGAGAAAATCACAATACTCGGATGAAAATCATAAATTTAATGCGGTAGAAATTTTGCACAATACCTTGACCCGATCTAAAGCACTTTCAATTTTCCTCTTTATTTCTTCCATTGCTTCAATCCTAACGCCTTCAGAAATTTGCTTCACTTTTTCTTTGTCTCCAACATCATCAGATAACCCAGAAGCTACAGCTACATCTGTAGATGTCATGGTATTTCCTCCAAATACCAGAGCATCAGAAGTCAACTTATAGCCAACACTGGTGGGCCCAACTGTTACTCCTTCCTATACAGTATGGGTTGATGAAGCAACAGTATGGGTCAATGTAGCAACAGTATGGGTCAATGTGGTAACAGTATGGATTAACCCATTCGCTCCTAGAGATTTTGCCGAAAAACGCGTTTTGAAGCTAGTCAAGTGGTTTTCTGGTCACTGTCGTGCTATAAAGAGCTAAAACTTACCACAAACTGGTTTACAGGTCGAACACTTCGCGGTCTTCCGATCCAGATGCAAAATATCAGCTTGCGAAGTTCGGGCATGCGCAGAAAGCAAAATTTCGACATAGTTTTTGGGTTTAAAAGTGACACAGCAGTCTTGACTTTTACTTTTCGCTTTCTCTCCTCCCTTCTTTTTTTGCTTTTCTTGCCTCATTTTTTTTTTCTCTTGCTGGGCATTTAGTAGGCTTGATTTTGGTGGGAAGAGTTTTTAGGAAAGCTTTTAGGATCTTAGGATTAGGCGAAAGGAAAGGTAGGTGGGTAATGGGACAAGATTTTCATGGAGATTTTCAGGTCAATGTCACGTGGTTTTTTGCTTGTTTCTCCGGTGTCCTTGACTGAATTGTGCTCATTCTGGTATGGTTTGAAAGATCTCTTCACTCTGCACAAGTTAGTGAAGAAAGTTGTCCTTGACCGTTAAAACTGATGACGTCACAATGGGTAGAAAGGACCTGGATCCGCACGGGCGGTTACGGGCGGTTCAGGGGCGAATGGGTTAATGTAGCAACAGTGTGAATAGTTAACTTGGTGTTTATTGTCTGTAGGGGGAGCGATTACTCCAGGAACTTAGGGCAGTTTTTTAAATCACAAAAACGTTGTAACTTATATCAAAGCCACAAATTAGGTCGTCCTGATAAAACCTTAAATATCCAAATAATTAAAACAAAACTCTAATTAGTCTGTTGCCTTAACTTGTCACCTAAAAACAGAACTGTTATGATTTCCTTTGAGGGGACCAACTGTTCATTCTAAATTTTAAAACCAAATCATTGCCATTGAACTTTTTGGGTGAGTCAGAACACAAACTGGACAGCCCTTGATTTCAAGCTATGTTAAGGTCTTTTAAAGCATTTGCTGTGTTTATACTTGCCTAGAGATCTATTAAAGTGGGGTGAATGTGGACAACTGGCGACCAATGGATCTCTGTCTCATTTCTAGCATAAAAATGTCCACATATTGTGCATCCTCCAAATTGATAAAAATAACAATTCCCTTATTTACCCCTAGAAGTATTTATAACCCATAAGGGTAGGATTGGAATCCCAGCTGGCTGGAGGCAGACTAGTATTGGCTATTTACACAAGCATGGCAGAGGGTTTGAACACAAGGTTACCAAGAACAAATCCAGCCAGTGGTCAAGTCAGACCTAGAACTGAGGCCCCCTATTACTAGACTGTGACTAGATGGATAATGTATTTCTTTGCCAAAAAACCTGAACCAATCCTTTCTACTAGGAAAGAAATTGACCAGTATCATGGTATACTAACATCTGACTGTTGCACTATAGATCCACCACCAAGTCCAACACTCAGAACATCAGGCATTCGGAAGTTGGTGTTCACGCCGCCAATCTACAGTCGTCAGTTAAACAAAAATATTATACTTAACTGATTGTGAATTACTCTACTAAGGCAGTAACATCTGGAAGGATTTAAACACTCTTCACAAACATACAGGCATTGGGAAGTTGGTTGATGTTCATACTGCTGATTTACATTCATCAGATTAACAAGAGCAGTTAAATAATATTGTGAACTAGTCAACATAGTTCTCTCTCTCTCTCAGACAGACAATGTCTGGACTGACACTTAAAATGTCTGTCTTAGAAAAGAGTCTGTCATATAAAGAGAGTCAATCAAGTGACAAGAACACCAAGAAACACTTATACATGTAAGTGTCTATTTTGGAGCAGTTTGTATCTAATGTTAATATATTTGCCTGTTAAGAAAGAGTGAAATACATTCACCTTAACACGTGTAGCTGCCTGCCTTGGAAATCCACCTTTAAGAACTCCAACATCAGTTGTTGTTCCTCCAATATCGATCACAATTGCATCCTGGACTCCAGACAAAAAAGCTGCCCCACGCATGGAGTTTGTTGGACCAGAGGCAAATGTGAAAACTGGAAGATGCCTTGTTTGTTCAGCACTAGATTACTCAAGTAACAAAAATATGTTTCTGTGGTTTGTCTGCTTTCACCATATCTTTCCCTATTTCATTAATGTTAAGCTAAACTGATTAGAAAGAGGTGTAAGGACCAAAATTTATTTGCAAAAAAATAACATTACCACATTTTTAGCTGTTACTTTCTCTCTGGTCTTCTTAAATTTCGGCTATTGCAGCTATTATCTTATTTCTTTAGTGTGTGTGTGTGTTATTTTTACCCAAATTTGTGGATAAATGGTAACAGTTCCTGGTCACACAGCTAACTGCCCATTGAACTGAAAATTGTGTATAATAGTGTAAATACTGATAACTTGCAGGGGGGCGTTTTTATTGGGAGAATCCAAAAATGGATTTGTGATCTAAGATCATATGGGTTTTTCACTACCAAAAAATGGAAGATCCAAAAAAGGATCATTTACAATGACAACAGCATGTACTAGTGCTTCTCGTGATGAGAAAAATGGAGGGGAAAAAAAATTAAACTGATCTTTGCGGCAAATACAAGAAGGCTACGTATGAAAATACAAATTGTAGATATGCAGTTGAAAACACAAATCTCGAATAGAATACACCTTAGGAGATTAAAATAATTTTAATCTCCTAATTAATAATTAATAATTTTAATTCTTATAATTATTATAACAATTTAAAACTGAAACTGATGAATTGTCTTTTTTTAAAATACTTGGAAAATAAACCAGTGTAAGTAGACACTACATACGTTCAAAAAACAGGACAAGTAAGGGATTAAAAACAGTATACAAATATAAATAGATAACAAACATGGAATAATATATGTAACTGATGGCTCCAAGTTCAGGTGCAACCACCTTAGGTTCAGTTAGAATGTCATACATGAATGGCATCTGTTGTGTACCATTTTTGTTCGAAAATTGCTTGTCAGAAATACTTTTTTCAAATCCTTTCCCAAAAGAACACTCAGATTGTGAATCTCAAAAATCTGGATTTGGGTTTGATCTGAAGAATCCACCCAGAGTGTGGATTTTAAGGATTCATGATCCATTTCTGGATTTGCCCAAACAAATGCAAAATCCTTCTTTGGATAAAAACCAGATTGGATTTTCCCACAAAAACACACCCACAGTCACTATAAGGAACAGATCCGTCCTATAAACTCATTACAGAAAATAAAAATTAATGTTTCTGGCACTAATTACCTTATTATGGTGCCATCATTCTGTGTGAGATAAAATGGACATTTCAAGCCTAATGTCTTTAAAGCCTCACAGAATGCCTCCACTGTCTGCTGACAAAGGCGCTTTAGACTCTCATTTAGAACAGATGCATTCTCACGTTCCAGAAGTCCTATAAGTCCCACCTCATGAGAAAGGGTCATGCTCATTTCTGGGTAAGTGGATTTGATGATCTCAGAAACTTGTAGTTCTTGTCTTCCAGAAGCTGGAGAAAACACTCCAGCGATGACAATATTCGTTATGCCTAATTAATATTAAAGAGTACATTAGACTCTCTTGTGAGCATGCAACTACCCTTGGGGCATGACAAAGTAGTCATTTACAGTAGGTGGACATCTACAGATTGCAAAGACTGACAAAATAAAGCTCAAACTCAGTTGATTAATGTAATTACATTCCATTTTATAATATCTTATAATAAGCTGAAATTAGGCAAATGTTATCATACTCAGAGGGAGACATGGGGGTTTACGGTATTGCAGTATTGAGCTTTTTTTCAAGCAGTATTTTGGTAATTTTGATTTTAATGTGCAGTATTGCGCTGTCATCTAGACCTGAAGTATACGGTTTTTTATTCTCTTGGTTAGCAGTTTTCGGTAAAAGAACTTAGATCCTTCACTGTATTGCGGTACCATTTATTTGCGCTCTCCTGTCTAATACAGGCCAATACAATGTGCAAAGGGAACAACAGTAAACTAAACAGGTTAATAAAAGTTAATATTTTAAGGCTTTAGACTTAATGGTAAATGATTACAGTAGTGGGGGAGGGACCGGTTACTCCGGTTTTTTGTGGATTTAATTAACTTTTTGAGTGGTATAAATTAACGCAGATGATGTCATGCATCTAATTAAGATGGGATGATGTCATAGTTTAAATTAATGTCAGTGACATCATTCATTCCATTAAGATAGGATGATGTCACAGTTTAAATTAATGCCGGTGACATCATGCATGTCATATAGATAGGATGATGTCATGGTTTTGTTTATAACTGATTTTTAGTGAAAATAAGTTAATGATTAAAGATTTTTCATTTAGTATAATCTGTAAAGATGACACGTTCAAAATTTGCCCGCTTTTATTTTGAACACATGACAATTTCTACAAAATCCAATCAGAAGAATACAGCAAACAATATCTAAACAGAAGACTATAGCAAATAGCTAATTATATAAAAATCTTGTTTATAGATTATGATCTCAACATTTTTTGATGATGTCAACTTTAGGAAATTCTGACGTCACTTGCTCCTTGCCAGCTACAAATAAACTATGACATCATTCTATCTATATGACATGCATGACGTCACCAGCATTAATTCAAACTATGACATCATCCTATCTTAATAAAATGAATGATGTCATCAGCATTAATTTAAACTATGACATCATCCCATCTTAATGAGATGCATGACATCATCTGCGTTAATTTATACCAGTCAAAAGTTAATTAAATTCACAAAACACCGGAGTAACCGGTCCCTCCCCCACTACTGATTACACAATCTATGATGAAAGTGGAAGGGTGTCCAATGACTGGGCTTTTCTATAATTCTACCGATCAAGGTCTTCTCACGTTTTCTCGCAATGTCTGAGGTTGATTTCTGGTGCATACAGCGGTAAAGACGGACGGACGGATAAAGCTTTAAACGTGAGCGATCATAAATGCAGTATCGGTATTTCGTTGATTTTTGACACGGCATTTGGGTATTTGCCAATTTTTCTTACGGTATTGCGGTATTGGATACCCCGCCAAAGTCCCCCTCCATACGGTGTGCTGTAGAAACTTTGTACTTGACACTTTGAAACAGATAATGCGCAAGATCAATGTCTTTAGTCTGCAGGCATAAGACTCATGCATAATGTCTGAGTGTTGGCAGGTATATGATCATTCACGATCAAGCAAAGTGGTCGCTTACTGGAAACAGAAAACTAGATGCAGTAAATATGACAAATTTTTGGCCCAAAAATTGGTCGCATTCACTTAAGAACTGCTTGCAGTCACAGACACATTTTTGATACAGTAAAATTACTGAGTTTGAACAAAATGGTTATTTGCAAAGTGGTTGCATACAGGAGATGGTCGCTTACAAGAAGTGGTCACTGTGAACAGGAGGGCATTTTGTATGCGCATGCATCAATATGGGCTGTTGAAGTGCCACAAAAGCATTTTCTGTGAATTGTTTACGTTCAGTACCAGCATTTGCAGGCTGTATTCTGGAGCTGAATGATGTGTATTGGATGCTACGTTCAACAAACATGTTCTTTAGGGTATCGAGGTATTTCTATGATGAAAGTGAGTTTATTGTAGCCTCGCTGTCACCCTTGAGAGGACAGTCTTTCCCTTTTGTAAAACAGTACATCGAAGACAAGATGGCGGCTGAATGTTCTTCATGACCTTACATTTTGCGCACATTTTTTGAGCAGGAGGAAAAGGTCAGTATGATAATTTTTCGTTAAACAATATTATTTCTTTATGTTGAACATGTATCTCGATTGCGGACTCGAAAGCAGATTAGTCTGATAAAAGCTTAAGCTAATCGAAGCTAATCGAGAACAAACGGCGCTTACTTCTTGAGCTTCGCAATTCTTGTAAACAACTTTACGCAAATTTCTGTTGAGCGTGATGACCCAAGTAAAAGCTCTACTGTATTTTACTGACTTCTAATGAAGTACCGTTGAACTCCTGCTGTTTGTCTAACAGACTTCTCATGAAATCAACTTCTTTGCCCGAAAACATTAGCGACGTTTCCTCTTTCTGGAGACTTTTGGTCATGTGTTAGGCAACCGCGAAATAGATGAAGTTCACTGGTGTTCATTTCTGAACATGCAAATACATAGGACGCAACACAAATTTTGCAGATTTTGTTCTTTAAAAACCCAAATAAGTTTTTTTGTGATTCCTAAAGTTTGTTTTTCTTAATGTGTATTCCATTTCCTGAATCTTAAGCTTGAATACCTTGAGGAGATTTACGCATGAGTGCAGGTTCCTTTTCCAGAACACCAGCTGGTAATCGAGCCTCAGGGAAAACCATTGGAAAGAAAGTTCAAAGGAAGTCTAAAACATTCATTTTCTGTTAAGGCTAAGTTAAAGATGTTAAGTTTATTGTATTCCATTAGTTCTTAAATATAATTTTTGGCAACTAGAATACTTGTTCTGGCGACCAAAAATGAAAACTTGGGGGCCAGTTGGCCCCAAGATTTTTTTCTGAAAGTCGAGCCCTGTGCACTCCTTTACCAAACTTCCTGTCTTATCTTTAAACAGGCTTTCAAGGTGAACAACATCATCATTTAGATTTATGGAGTGATGGCCATTCTCCGTTTTGAATAGATCAGTACTGTCATCAAATATAAATTAATAACAAGAAATCGATTGTGGAACACAGGAGCTGTTACTCAAGAGTCGCTTCAAAATAATAGCTTGGGAAAAATCTCTGTATCTTTTAGAGTTAAAGAAAAATAAAAGTATTGTTCCTTTTTTCGGGGTATGTGCATTTGTTTTGTCTGCAACTGAGCTTATGAAATGCTCAAGTGATTATGTACTCCAAAATCACTTGTAATTGTTGCTCTCTTGAGCTCAATCCATTCTTCATTTCCTGTAGAATACTTTTATAAATTTTCCATGAAAACTTTCGAAAGACTGTAAAAAACCCATAGATTTCATGTTTTGTGGCATGTATAAACGCGTGTCTCCGCGGCCAGTTTAACATGAGACCATGCGCTAATAAATAAACCTCACGTGGTAAATTTTTTTTTGCTTTTAGTCTTAAGGCAGCTGAACATTGCTACGATGCATTTCCTCCTTGCTAAGTGAAACCACAAGTTTGGAAATCAAACTATAGAAATGCATTGCTTAGCCAGTGAAAATCAGACTTATACAGGAACACGACTTTTTGGCGTTGAGTCTTGAAAGTCATTAAAAGGCCAAGAACACCTACTGCTGAAAAATCTACTAGTGAAAACCCACATAGAAAATGTCCGATTTTTGTCATGGAGAATATTTTTGTAGGAAAGTACGGTATTCAAAGCACCAACGAAATGGCTTTTAAAAGGACGGTACCTTTATGCGAGTTTTTGATGTGCCCACACTATTGTCCTTCAGCGGATGCACGCATGCACATGCAAAATGCCCTCCTGTTGTCACTGTGAGAAAGTTATGTAAACCAGCCATGACAATGCCATATATGGTGTGAAAGTAATAATGACATAATTATGATTGACATCAATGACAGAAAACATATACAACTTTAGGAGCTACTTGTGTCTTGTGACTAAAAATAGCCCTATTTGTAAAGAGCACTAGCTAACCTTCATCATGAACTTCTTTTGCAATCCTACAAACTTCTTCCTTGTCAACATCAGTTATACAGGAGCAGTTGTACTGGTAACCACCATTGAGGAAAAAATACTTCCCAGTAATTACATTCTTTAAATCAGTAGGAAAATCACACAAAGGTGGTACACTTTGAGTTGCTGGTCCACACAGCCTCAGTACAGCAACCTTAGTCAGTTTTTTTCTTTGGACAACTGCATTCACAAAATGGGTTGTACCAATGTTAACTCTAATAACGTACTGAGCAGGATTTGGTTGATATTCATTTGGGAGTTCCCTTAATGCTGATCGGATGGCACTGGTGACCCCTGATGTTACATCTGCAGTTGTTGGTACTTTTGCAGAGCATAATACCTCCTTCTTTCTCAGTATCACAGCATCAGTATTAGTTCCTCCGACATCCACTCCAATGCAAAGCCACATGGTATCTAAATCCACATGATCACTATCTTATTTTAAATTGAAACAACCTTTAGCTGAAGCTGAACTCTTCACTTTAAAGGGCAGGATTGAAGAGTGTCTAATCAGAATCTTACCTCGATTATGATATTAATATCCTTTCTCTGGTCTTTTAATAAGTATGAGCTTAAGTTACTGTGGATTATCAAGTGGATCAAATATGGCGACTTCACACACGAAACTTTCGGTACCTGGTACGGAAACTCGGCTGCATTTCAAGACAAAAACGTGACATCACGATAGACCACTGTTAAACGATCGATTGGACAGGATTGACAAACTGGTTGACCCTCGGTCATGCATATAAAGTATTCAAGTTGAGGTGACATGAGGCCCGGCACGTCCGACATTTTCAAGCATGTACATGGAGGGAGGTCTGGAACCGAACGAGTCTTTGCAACCAACATGGCGGGACAAGGCGGGAAAGGCGGGACATTAATGCGGGACACAAGGATAACCCTGAAGGGCACCGCGGGCGTCCGTTGCACCGTCCCCTCAATAGTCAGGTGGCTAAAGGCTCAGATCTATACAGAGCGGACAAAAGCACCAAACTTTGCATGGTTGTAGCTTAGGACATGTTAGTCAATATTAGGATCGGTGCCCACAGCTACCTCTTCAGGATTTGCAGCAACTGCTCGCTGAAGTTCTTCAACAACCTTCCATGATGGGTGGCCTGTGCTGAAAATTGCAATCCCTTGTTTTTTGCCATTTTTTGATGAAAATCACATAAAAAGGCAAGTAGATGGAAAAAGAAACTGTATTAATACTATTATCATTAAAACCGATGACTAAAACAAGTCAACTTAATGATATAGCAATAATGATATGCCATGGTGGGTACCCTGTGCTAAGAATATGAGTTCCTTGTTTTTTTGCCATTATTTTGATGAAACTTGAAAATCAAAAAGAAATTGTATTATTATTGAAACCAACGACAAAAAGCAAGTCAACTAAATGGAAGATCCAAAGAAGACTTTTTCATATGCGTACTCTGTCCCAAATGGTCTTTCAAGATGGCGGCTTGAAGGTGTCTTTTCATGGACTGTAATAATCCGCTAGAATAAATTGTCGTTTTTTAAGGGAAATTGTGTACAATTTGAATCACTACTGGTTTAAGTGAAGTTTTAAGCTCTCCTTGGCGATAAATGTGTTATCGAAAGCCACATTTTCGCTTCATATTTTGTGCCGATTATGAATGACTATTCTGAATTTGTTTTCTTACTGGTTAGTTAAAGG